CAAACTAGGGTGTACTTGACAGTGTTTGGGGAGCATTTTAAGTCTGCATGAATTTGTCAGAGAGACCAACCAGCATCACATCAAGCTTTTATGCAAACTCTCTGCTCTACTGACAATTCTCTATGCTTTTAGGGCCGTGGTATGACAACAAAACTTAATATATAGTGTTAAACACTGTTTTTATCAAGGTTTATTTATGGATTACTATTAAACTGATTTCTGCTAGTATATATCGGTACCATATGCTAGCTCCTTGCTAACTTCTTTCTATATAGTTAAGACCCTACATGGGGTACCATGACAGTTATTTCAGACTCTAAGTTTGATCAGTATGTTCATTCAAGCAGAATCCTTATGACACACCTATGTAACGGTCACTGATGCCAAAAGAAATATGAAGTTCACAATGCTTCAAATGAAGAATACTTTTCTTAACCTTATAACTGTCTTGTTAATGACTAGTTATAAAAATAAAAAGTTGCTGATGTACAGCAGGGCTCATACTTGACGTTTTCTTTTAGAAAACCAGCTAGTACCAAAAACATGCATTTTAGGGGCCTGCAAGTAGTTTTAGGGGCCAATTATCTAGTTCATCTAAAATGTACTCTATAGTGGCGGTTATCAGAAAAATCACTGAATTAGATAGCTTATGCTGGATAAATTGAAAGGAAACTAAAGATACCAATGCATCGCAATTTATTTTGTTATGAACTCGTATTTCATGGAAAAAAATTTGATTTCATTTTTTCAGACCACTTAACCTTCTCCAGACAGGTCACGGGTCAAAGGCCACGTCATCACATTTGTTGAATTTATTGAACTACTATTTCATGAATTTGTGTCAATAAGTTTGGTATCACACTGTAGATTAGAATTCAAATTTTAGTATTATACCTCAATTTCTTAATTCAAAAGTAAATATAAAAAAACAGTTAAACATTGATTTTTGTGTTCAATGTGGTATGCTGAAGACAGCACTGGTTCAAATTAGATGTTTGTGATGCCAAGATA